AAAGGTGTAATGAAAAACTGCCAAAATTTTGCCATTGGAGGACAGTATTTGTTGCTTTGATCATTTTCACAATTATTCTTAAGCAGGTTCGATGTTCAGTTTTTCTTGCTTAATAGATTTGCGTGTTCATGCTCGGGCAACAATGAAGATAACGATAACGAAAAGGTAGTGCTAAGAATTTGTCTTACAAGCGGTAGTTTTTATTATAACCTCAACATGATCATTATAGCTCGGGTCATTGATAATTTGAAATGTAAAAAACATTACAAATTGACAGATTCCATTGCAATATTGAAATTTCCAACATCAATTGGTATAAAATTGTTTCGAATAAAAAGATTGTGCATATGATACACTGCAATTTAAGCTATTAATCAAAAAAAAATTTCTCCTAACAGGTATTCAATGAAATTAGAGATGAGTACTAATAATGACCTTGAACTTGACTCCAAGATTATGATTTTCTTTGTTAAGAGTTGTAAAGATAGAACTTGATTGAATTACCTATTTCCACTTAAAGTTTCATTCATAACTACTTGATCATTTTGAATAATTAATGAATAATGATTTATAATGAGCGTATACTCATATTTGGTTAGCGCGTATAATTTATGTTAAATGACACTTCAAAAGATATCCGTTTCCAAAAACAAGAGATCAACACATTGTATCGTAACTATGTTTTTATTTCTTAACAGGAGGTGACTGAAGAGTATCTTTGTCATCTTAACCTGGATAAATAGTGCGAATAAAGCTAGTTCCTACCTTTTCAACTCTCAACTAAACTCGAATATAAGAAATCTTAAAACTCTTGAGTCAGTATATTTTGCAAAAGCCCGTGAAAGCCGAGCTTCGTTTAAAAGACTATTCATAATATCTACTTATAATTCTATTCTTGTTAATCTGAGTAACATTGATTGTTGAAAATTCAAAATTGTTCTAATTGTTAGAAGGAAAAATGGATAATTAAGTAACATGGAAGTGGTTGTCGATAAATGAAAGCATATTAAGCTGAAAGCGCAAATAAAATTTTTCTTAAATATCAATATTGAAGATTCAAATATACTCATTACAAGTCTACAAGATTTAAAATGTCCTCAAACAACATTTCTTATGTGTCTCATCAACATGATCAGTATTTGCCATTTACTGAGCAAAGTGAGCTTAATTATTAGATTCAGGTTCGTCCAACTTAACCAAATATACAGATATACCAAAAATACCAAAGAGAATAGGAAGGCTGCAATAACGATCGAAAATTGGTTCAAGCTTATTGACATATTTGGACGTAAACATGGAAATGATTTGCCTAATTCAAAAAATGAAGCTAAAAACTTGTATTTCGACTAGATTCAACAAGTTGATTGGCTTGATTTTAAAAAAAAGAGTGATACAAAGCTGAGCTGGGTAAGCGTTTTGTGTCGCTCCTAAATAACCGGCATCGAATTTCTGATAAAAGCTGATTGATATAAAATAAAAATGACCGACTTCGACTGAAAAACAATGTATGAAAGACAACATTCAATAGCTTAAAATAAAATTTAATTTGTGTTATTGTATCGGACTACCAAATGAACTACAGTAAGGCTGCTTCGACCCTAGTCGAGCATCTCTACAAGTTGATGATGGTTTTCTTGACGCTGAGAAGGAAAGTGGAGATGAGGATGGTTGTGGGTGGGTGAATAGTACCAGTTGCTATTCAGTGATAGAATAGATAACAGACGCCAAGTTTTCAATTTACACTATGATTATCAACGTACACATTGCATAATTGAGGGTTTAAAATCTATTGCGTGTAACAGTCTGATATGACTGTGGACATTATCACTTTAATCTTTCCACCGTTCATCGGAGAAAAAAATGACAGTTTCCGAGCATATTCATCTAATCAAATTTTATTCATTTTAGATTGAAGGGTCTTATATTTTAATTCGTTGAATTTTAATGGAAAACGGAAATCACCAGCTCTGTTGACCCATTTAGTGAATCGCTATCCCACAGATGCTTACTCACAAGCCTAGAAATTGAATGCAAGACCCAGGTGCTGGTGGTGGCTTATCTACATATGTAAAAAGGTATAGAACAGAATGAAAAATAAATGTGTATTTGGGAGATAATTACATGTCATTTATGAAAACATAAACATTGATATTGAACAGACTTTTTTATCGAGAAAGATAACACTGAACTCACCGAAAAAGCAAGCTTCATCACGGTTACAATCGCTGTCACTTTCACAAGACATAGTTTGACAAACCTGCATTGTAAGATTGAAAATAAAGGGTGTCAAAAATAAAACGGGTTGAAGGTTAAATCATTAAAATAACAAAATTAACTTGAAGAATTAACAAAAAATTCTAAGGAGTGTGATATTACTTACAAGAATGCCCAACAAGATTAAGATAAAATAAATATGAATGAATTTCATGATGACAATGGTTACAATGTACGATTAATCCAACTTGGCTGAAAACTTTTAGCTGATTGATTCAGTTACTAGCAATATATGGCTTAATATATGTGTTATTTCTTAAAATTCAATCATCAGAATATCATATCACATGTAAATGGTATGTAAATAATCTGATCATGCCATTAATGTTTATTCAGCTGTATCTCATGTCACTATGATGTTTATAATAGATTAATTTGCATCAGATGAGACAATCATGAATATCATTGTTTAATTAAATTAATTTCTGACTCAAAATAGAATTAGCATAAGATTATAGTGACAAATGAGATGATTCACTCCAATTCGAATCTTTGTTAATTGTACTAATTTTCAGTTTTATACTGCATATAAAACCCAAAAAGTCTCCGTCTGCAACTCACAAATCAAAGTTGAAATCATTATACCAACACCTTGCTTTTCACAAGTAGGCCCACTCTTACTTTACAAAGTCAAGTTATCTCTGTTATGGACCTTAAAAATCAATCAGTTTGCTCAGTTGTTTCATACTTATTTTGATGCAGACTAGTCAATAACTGGCATAAAGCAAACTTTAACGATTCTCAAACATATTTGATTAGTGAGTAGAGGTTCCGTTTCCGAGCCATACAACATAGTACTTCTCAACCTTCGAATAATAAATTTAGCAATTCGACTGAGCAGACTTGATACAACAGTCCCGCACATCACTAGAAATTTTAAAGCATATTTTGTTTAATGCGTTTGATTTGTATTTTCTGAATTAAAAAAACATGAACCTTGGATGATTAGGTTTGTTCTGTGTAGCTATTGGGCTAAAAAAAGTTAATGATTAAATTGTTCCGTTAAAAGCTGGATAACATTATTCATCAAATTCTTTTCTGGGTTATCTGAGAAGTTTGTTGAAATACAGCACACGTTGAGAAAACACCGTGCAAAAATTTATTCATACATGCTTCCGCCATTTCATGGTTTCCAATGTATTAGGTTGGCACAATTCAAATTACAGGCTACCGGAACTTCTCTTGACATTGGAAGAAGATTATAAAAAATAATGTGCGGTCAACTTGTAATTTGTTTCGCCTGGTGCTTGCAAAGCAATTACTTATGGTCGAATTTTTCACTCTCCTCGTTGACGATGGAAAACTAGTTAGATCGAAAAGTTTGGATTCATTCGACCAATAGAGCAGACAATTGTAAAATTTGAGCTTGAGTTACTAATCCAATTAAGGTTTTTTTCAAAATTTAATATTGATAATCATGAACAACAAGTAAAATGCCATTTTATTGCGATACCTCACTTATTATTAGAAAAAATGAATGATTTCTACTTGAATTTTGTTCTGTTTTTTTAGATTAACGCTAAAAGAATGAGAAATTATGATCTTTTACTTGTTGTTCATGATTATCAATATTATATTTTGAAAAAGTCCCCGGTCAATTCTCAGTTAAAATTTTGAAATAAAACAATGATTGGATTAGAAAATTAAGCTAAAATTTTACAATTGTTTGCTCTAGTGGCCAAATGAATCCTCTCAAGATTGAAGAAAGCCTGAAGGTTTTTGTTTGTAATCTTGGTTGCGGTCTTCGAGTCTTTGGGCTGGTTTGTTAAGCTTCTCTAACAGTTGGAGATGATGATGAAAGGGAGATGAAATCTCCCTTTTCTTTGATTTTTCGCACATTTCTTCTTCCATTCTTTTTTCAAACATTGTTCTTATATTTTTGGTTGAGGATCTTTCAGATAAGAAACCAAAACATCGTTATGCCCGCAACGCTTGTAACTTCAGCTAACTGCGGTTTGTCCTTAATTGGCGTGCTGTGACTAGGTTGGTAGATGATCGTGTCTTCTTCTGACTACCACTCTGATTCACCGAATAATGAACTCTCCGAATAATCGTCATTCGAGTCTTCTACGTCGCTTCCACTTTTGTCAGCATCATTTTATGAGGTTTATCTGTTGTTTGACATACTTCAGATTCTCCGTCTTGTTATGTTCAGTGATAAATCGGAACTGATGTTTGAGCGTCAGTATACAAGTGCAAGGGCTGCTCGCGAGAAAGTTCTTTTACTTGGTTTATCTTGGCGCAACCCGAATAAACGAAGGTGTCAGTGATCTAACTAAACAAGTGCATCAATGGAAATCCAATGCAAACAGTTGGCGTGGAAGAGATATACAGATGTACTTTTTCCAAAATAACATAGAAATGAAAATCTTTAGCGAAATTGCATTTGTTGGATGGATAAACGCTAAACTAACTTGAGAGTTGACAATAACATACTAGGTGTCAAAGTCAATAGTGTAACTATTAGGAGGTTTGTTAGTCCACGATAGGAATAGATTTTGAAATCTTTTTCGGCTATTTTATAGAAAAAAGTTTTGTAGATGCGAATCCCGATGAAAATAAAATAGTAGCTCAATTTAGTACCAATTAACCTTAATGTGACCTGAAGTCATTTAAGATCATTTTAAAATATCAATAGTAACATTGTGCAATGAAAAATATTAAAAATGATTATTGCGTCTAGTTATAATGCTTATTTCGACAAATAAAAGGTTTATAGTATCGTATGCATTAAAAGTGTTTTTTAATCATTTAAGATGTAAAGATATACTTCAATTATTTCTTATGCCAAAATTTTCAATAGCATAGACAAAAAATTGAACGATTATTTTCGCAGACAAATTCCAAGCACAGATAACTAAGCTTATTAAATCATCTTCTAAATTCCCTTGATTATCTCAGAATGCAGGGACACAATTACCGTTTGTTCCCCTGAATGCACCTAAAAAGAAACGAAAATAGAAGAATATCAATTACACGTGAATTTTTGATGACAATAAAATATAATACAAACCATGAATGATCTTTAACAAATATTTTTCACAACGTAAAAAATGAATCGATAAAATGAAGATACTCACCAAAACATAATTCACCATCACCACAGTCCGAGTTACTTTTGCAAGACATGAATGCACAAATCTACAAGATTGGTACAAATTGGTTTATGATTATATAAGTATCTATTACAATTACTACTACTACAATTATTACTATTACTAACTATTTAGTCGTTTTTAATCTTCGAATTAACAACAAGAGCCAAAAAATACATTTGCAAGGAATATGATACTTACTAGAATGCTCACCAAGATTAATTTGGAATAAACAAAAACGAAATTCATGTTGACACTTTATTGGGTATGATAGATTCAACTTGAGTAAGAATTGTAACAGATAACTAAATGATGCGGAAGAAACTTTATTTATACTACCAGTCAAATTTTTGTTAATTTTTTTCATTCTTTTCTGTCAGGAAATTAAACATAGCTACCTGCTGTATAAATTATGGAAACGGAAATCGGACCATGTCAAAGTTTTGAGCTGTATAAATCATTCGTAATATCCAAGAACGTTGCAAGTATACGCTAACACTATTATTAATATATATAATAATATATATATATAATAACACTATTATTACTATTATTAACACTATTTATTTATTGGTATCAGATGATCAAGTCATCTATTTATTATTTGCACAGATCAACTTCTGACTCATACCAAAAGCTGTGAAAAGTGATTCATTCAGATCTGTAATCTATCTTTTCGTAAAAACCTAATATACCAGTAACTCAAAAGAACGCCTCGTTAGAAAACCGTTGTATCAATAATAACGTATACGTAATCAAATGCAAATGAAGTTTGAAGTTTATTTTCTCGGAATTTATAATCTGATTTAGTCAGAATTCTACGAATTGACAGAAAGCACATTTGCGTGTATAAAGTATGAAATTAGAGAAATAGCATCAATATTTTCCAAACTGCTTAAATCGATGCAACATGAAGTTTCGAAAATGCGTAGAAAATTCTCAAGATAAAAAATGATCGACAAGCGGTAGTGGTTCGATTTATTTGCGCTGATATACCTTCAACTACGGAATATCGAAAACTCATCCCTCAACTATACCTGGAAGTAATAATTGCGATCTGAATTTGATAATTCACCTTGTTCAAAAGCTGTCCGAAAGATTGCAATGAAGCTGCAATGGATTTTTGCGGTGATACATTGTTGTAAGGAAAAATGAGGTTGATGAAAAGACTGCAAAACCCAAAAACGATAGGATTGGAATCAATGTTCCAGTGCGATAAATTTTTTTGAACTCACCGCTGAACAAGCCCAACGGAATCTGTAGATTAAGAGAAACCAGACAAGTAATTGATACTCGATGAAATGAATCGGTTTCTTATTATTATTTGCTTAGTTTGAGTTAAGACGCAAACAAGAGTTGAAAAATTATGAGATTCATTCGGAAGTTTTATGCCTATAAAATCGATTTATTCAGGTGTGATTGCTCATTAGCGGCATAAATCTGACATTAGTTAATTATTGCAGTTTAAATTTATAAAATAAACGATAAAAAGTGATTTTGTGAGCTATGACTGCAAACCAAAGATTAATGTAATCTTTGCTGCAAACGAACGCGGTTTATATTCTCCCATCTACTTTTCCAATGGATATGAAACAATAGGAAAACGATTGACAAAGTTTTTAATTGCATTTTGGTTTTAGTTCATTTTCTTTATTTAGATTTATTTAGATCGAAAGACATGACTAAATTATCTGCATTTTAAACTTGATTATCAATAAAAAAATTGATCATTAAATTCATGTACTCAGATAAATTCATCTATTTATTTTCAGAGACACGAGCCACCCAGACAAATTTGCTCTCCAAGGCATTCATCGTTACTTTTACACTTTGTCGAGAAGGATAGACAAATCTGTTGAAAACAAGTAAAAAAATTAGTTAATAATATCACAGGTTTGTTCCATAATTAAGTAACACTTAATAAAAAAACGATTTAAGCAAATTATGAACTTTATGTAATACTCACTAAAAGGCCCAAACCGATCGAAATCAAATAGCTAAAAATGGAATTCATGTTTCACCACTGTATCAAATGCAATGAAGTGAGTCAAGGTAACAATTATGAGAACTGATAGCAAAATGATTTATGAGAAGCTTATAAAGCTTATCAAATTTATTTATTCAGTGATATTCTTGTTTATCTATCTGGCGAATTTTACTCATTAATGAATACATTATCTAATTTAAACATTCGTGGCTTCTCAGTAAAGCCAACAAAGTTGGCAATTATTGTCATGAAGAAATTGAAAGTAAATTAGGATTTGACCAGCGGCGAGATGAGATCATAAAAGATGATTTAAAATGTAAGATGCTCGGTTAAAAAATGGAAATTTTACTGATGAATACAAAACTTGCATCAACTAGTTATCTTATTTTCTAGTTGGTGTATACAGATTTAAGAATTGAAAGTTTTTAAAACGTAAAGTAAAGTTATAAAGGCTGATAATTATACATGACAAAGGCACTATTTTCTCGGAAGTTAAATTTGTTTGCAAACTTCATACATCGTAAATGTTTATTAATTGCAGATTAAACAAACTTCCAGCTCATCGCCTAAACTAGATTTTATTTTGTTCAAATTGTTTTTTATTTGACAAATACACCTTGAATGATTGAAGGTTAAAGGTCTATTGTTCAACTACATTGGATTTTCGTACACGCTATATCATAGTAACAGTTAAACTAAATAATCCAAGTCGATGTGATCACTGCAAAAAGAAAATTATGTGAGTTTTCATGAGGCGAAATTTGCTCCAGTTCAAATTTGGCCAGGTAATAATGGTAATTTAAAGTAGACTAACTGAAATAAATTTCATTGCATCGATTCTGAAAATTTTTGATTGTAATGGCAATTGTTAATGTGGTTTACAATAGAGCTATACTGCGATTCATATTCAACCTACTGCAACAAAAAATTACTCAAAATATTGATATCAATAGCTTTTTATGATAAGACAATGACAGTTAAAGTCAAAAGAATTCCAATACACAAACAAGGTGCATAATGTTAAAATTAATTGGTTTAAAGCAATTAGAAATGAAAAATGAATTGAAAAAGAATGAAGGTCTCAGTTGTAATTGTGTGAAAATGTTATCTTGTCCAAACTAACTGATTGCGGGGATATCATAAGTGACCAGGATAAGGTTATTTAGATTTTGAGCAAATTACCTCAACAATCAAACATTTTGTTTTTTCGATTAGAGTAATTTTGAATAATAAGGTATGACTGGTAAAGTTTGACAGTAAAGCGGACTTGGTTTGGGTGCGCGATTTTTTTTTCAGGCCTCAATACCAAATTTTTTGAATTATTCCTGGCTATAGGGCAAGGAAATGTCGAATTTTGTGGCCAATTATCGTTGATAGCCGTTTAGTCTTTTTTTATTCGGTAAAACGCTCAAAACTCTGTTGCGTCATCTACGTCGGTTTACGGCCACAATCATTGAAGTTAGTCACAGTTTTTTATTTCCGACCCTTACACCAACCCTGTAGACTGACCTCGAGTTAGTATCACTATGCTGCAATCGTTCTAATTATTCGTATAAACTTTACCATGGGCGGTCGCTGACAAAAAAAATTAATTTAGGACTATCACTAGCATTAAGACCTATATTGGACAAATAGAGAGTTAAAACGAAAATTGAAACTTATATCAAATGAAAGCCAAGGAAATTTGCGTTAAATTAACCTAATTTTGTGCAAATCTGTCTAGACGTTGAGCCGCCATGAAAGATTCTAAAATTTACTGTCAAACTTTACCAGTCATACCTTATTTATCGGAACGTAGTGAAACTAAGGGAAAAATACTTCAGTTTAGCGGTTTCGAAAATCCCCTTTTTGATTTCATTACCAAGACATACAGCCATAACCTTAACTCAAAAAACTTGAAACTTGATTTAAAATGTTGTTTACTTGAGAAGATGCGCAGAAATCACTTTCGAAGACATCAGACCTCATTTCTCGGGAATTTGACTCTTGAACTTGATACGTCAATCGAATGTTATTTGATATTTGGTAACACTTTTATATCACACTCAAACATTTCTATCTGGTTGGCATCAAAATTCGTCATAATAGGGCTTTAAATGAGAAAAGGCCTCGAAAAAACAGGGAAAAATATGCCTCATTCGTGGCAACTCACCATACCAGGTCAGACTATCGCTCGGCAAAATCAGTGGCGCTTTGGTCATTTCCGTTTCTATTCTGTAGCTCAGAAGAGTCTGTTTGAACCATTGAACAATTTTTTTATTAAAATCACTAAAATCTTCATATAAGTCTAATTCTTAGATATTTTTAGAAATAAACTCAAATTTTAGCGTTGAATTAATGATAATACGAATAGAAATCTCAATGTATTACTGAATCTTGTTTAAAACGTATCTTTGAGACTGGTCTTAATGCTCTTGAACACAGTGTAAAACAAAAAACCAAACAGTGTCACTGCACGCAGAAGGGGAAAAAGCTCCTCACACCAGAAACTTGACACAAATATTACAAATAAAACAGCTCTCTGAATGTGTCAATTTTCAGTTGCACCGTATTTCATTAGCTATTTATGCTGTAATGTTAGGACTCAATTAACTAAAATTAAAAAATTATTCTCTAACTAATATGATTGCTGAAAAATTAGCAAAACAACTTATGTGTCAATTTTAGTTGCACTACATTAATAGCCATTGATGCATTGTAGTTTTTGTGAGCTGTACTTTTGGTTATTTATTTTCTTTAGTAACAACTAAAGGGTGTAACACTTAACAGCCTGCAAATTTAGAAGATAAGAATTAAAATTGAGCTTACCTTTATCATAAAATTTGTTGATATCGATGACCAATGACCAATTGGTCTTGGTTTCCTGTCTCTGGGGCTTCATTATCTGTCTTCATCTTCATCAATATCAACAAATTTTATGATAAAGGGAAGCACAATTTTATTTCTTATCTTCTTAATTTGCAGGCTGTTAAGTGTTACACCCTTTATTTCAGTTACCAGTCGTCTTAAACAACATAATTAATATTTTTAATCAGTACTTGCAGTTCATTGGACACAAAAAGCGGCTAATTTTATTTTTATATTATCCTCTAAATCTAGATGTAAATGTGATTCACAGCTTTGTAAATAATAATTACCAGTTATACGATCATTACCATTTGCTGATCAATTTTCAATTTCATCCTGCAGATTTGGCCATCGTCATCGCAATTGTTGGGACTTAAGTCATGTGTGGACGGTAAAGCATGTGGAAGAGGGTACAAATGTATCCAGAAAATCAATAAATGTGTTCCAGACAATTAGAACCATAAAACAGGTTGAGAGCAAAATCATAAGTATGTTTTTGCTTATTCAATCGCCCAAGCAAAAAATGTTAATTGCGAGATAAGGTGTTTATTCGCTGTGTACTAATTATGCCATGCAAAAGGTTGAAACAACAAGCCTGTTAATGAATTTATGTTATCTGATATAAATACTAAATGTAAATAAAGAAATACTAAAATAAATTATAAATGTTATTTGTGTTTTTTTCTTTTCTTCTTTTGCTTATCAGAATTCATTGAGTTCCTTTTCATCGCAGTTTTCCAGAAGGTCAAAAATGGTCAATCTGTCATTGATTTTATTACAGAATTGGAAATATCTTCCCGAACTAAATCATTGCGGGGCCATTATAAGTCCTTGATATAAGTGATATAAGTATATGAACCTTTATATAAAATTTTGACTACTTGTGAAGATGTGCAGAAAGAACTTTTGCAGACATCGGAGGTCATTGTCGGGAATCTGATCTTTGAACGTCAATCGAAGGTCATTTGAGATTTTGTAACACTTTTGCATCACACACAGTTTCATCCGACTGGCATCAAAATAAGTCAAAATAGGGCTTTAAATAAGAATAAGCATCGAAAATACGAAAATGAATGCCTGAATTCGTGGCCACTCACCATACTAGGTCAGACAATCGTCAAAAGCAGTGACCCTAAAAGTAATGCAAATAAATGAGCAAATACTTGGTTGAAAGCTTAAAGTTAAATAAAAGCTTGGGTTTTGCTATATTTTTGATAGCATCCAACTCTGCATTTAGTTGATAAATTAGAAAATTGGCACTTGAATTCACATTTTAAAGAAGCTTTTAGTTGCATTCTTGCCGATTAATTTTCTGTTTCATGAAACTTCCAAGTACGAATCAAAGTATAATACATTACGATCCTCATTCATCTGCATTTTAACATTTTCATTGGATTGAATCATCGAGGTTCATGTTTCATCAAACGATGCCACAGGTTATGAAAAGCTATGCAAACTAATAGATTAAATAGACTAATACTAATTTATTGAAATTATCTAGTGATGAGTTGGAAGGTTGTTTCAGCTGGATGTGATGAACATTAATCATCTAAGGTAGTGGAAATAGAAATTTAGACATTCATTCAAATCAAATGAGACAAAATGACTAACCTTTTAGGCACCATTTTTTCAGGCATCAAGCTAACAACCTAACTTTGCCTGCATATCAAGTTTTGAGTCGATTGGTCAAACATTGGCCGATTAAGCCTTGATTGAATCAAAAAAGTAGAATTAAGTAAAAGAGTATAAAACAGCTAGTTGATGAAGAATCCCATAGAAAATAATGTTAAATATCAAAAATAAATTTCAATGCAAACATGTCTTTTTCCGTTCTATTGGCATGACATTTGTCAGTATCATCCCATGCATCGTTGGCATATGTGTGCATGTTGACTGAGAATAGATTTTACTGCATTAACTAAACTATTCTGACCTAAACAGGTAATTTGATTCAGAAAATATTTGCATTTTTTTCTTGAAATGAATTCCGAAAGGCTGTAGGTGAGAACTTATGGTGGGGGACAAATTTTGCAGACATTGCGTGCTTTCAAGTCAGTATTTTGAAAACAGTAGTGAACGATTTTTTAATAGAAAATTTAAGTATTTCAAAGGTAATTAAATATTTTGTCCCCCACCATATAATGCTTTGACTGAAAAGTTGACGACTGGAAATTTTGGGTTCTGTAGATGCATAAAATGGCAAATATCTGTATAATTAAAAAAGATACATTCGATTTTTATTTGAATTA